TACAAAAACAAAAAGTTCCTTCTAACCATGAGTCAGCTTGGATGTAGCAATTTAGTGTTATCATTTTTTTTAGTTAATTGTGTATTTAGTGAAACAATTGACCAGAAAAACAGGGGGTTCTAAAAACAAATAAGTGTATGAATGGATTTCTTTAATAAAACAAGTTCATTTAATTTAAAATATATATGTTTGAGACATAGCTTGAATATAGTGTTAGTAAATGACTAATTGTTCTTAATCAGGAGAGAGAATCTGAATACAGGCATGGTTGGAAAATTTAGTTTCTGGTTTCTGGAATATGAGGTGCTTCTAGGAAGGTGAGTGAGAATATAAATTTAAAGATTCAGAAAGCAGTTGTGGCTGAAGATATATATTTTAAGTAATTAGTTTGGCAGGCTTTAAATAGCTTCTAGCTTCTAGAAAACCACTTTAACTCATTTATATTTAGACACGGTAGGTCTTAGAAAACTATTACATTGATAAACTTTTTTGGATTTTTTTTGTTTGTTTCTTAGCATTCCTTCGATAATTCCCTACTGTCAGATCTTTCTGTCATCAAATTTCTATGTATACTCAATGATTTCACTTATGTCTTTTGAGTTCATAGTCAGTTCCTAATGCATTAAACAGTGTGTCTTAGGGAAAATGATCCATCCCAGAGAAGAAAGAAACCAATTAAAACATCTATTAGTTAATATGACCTTTTTGAATTTTGAATGTAAGGGTTAGGACTTATTATCTACTTAAAACTTATGAATTAATTATTTGAAATCTTTCCTGAGCCACATTCATGATGTAAGATATAAAATCATAAAATATCAAGATAATTATTTAATCACAAACATTTAGTTTGCTGAAAAGCACAAAGATGGAGATAGAAGAATTAAATGAAAGAAGAGGTTGGAATTTACATGAAAATGTAAACAAGGCACAGGTAAATTGATTAATAATTTACCAAATTATTATTCCATACTACTTTTCATTTTGTCTTTTGGCAAACAACTTCAAGCTATCAGAAGAAAGATGGCTTCATGTTCAACCGTTACATTCACTCCTGTATGCTTTCTGGGCATGTGGAGAATCTCAATTTTGTGAAACACGTTACTTTGTTTAGTAGTTCCAACACAAGGATGGGAGGAGATGGAAGATTGCAAGTAGACCACAGAGTTGTAGCTAAAGGCTTGCCAGGGAGTATATACAGGGCATGTTCCTTAGTTGAGAAATGCATCCAGGCAACATCTTAGCAAGAACGAGGGAAAGCCATCAGGAGCCTGACGAGGGTTTTATCAGAGAGCAGCGAATTGCTTTTCGAGAAGCATGGAGGTGGAGTGACTTAAAAATCAGTCAAGATGCTTACTCTCCTGCATCTGAGTTCTCCTGCATCTCTGAAACAACCAGACCTGCTTGGGGGCATTCTTGAAGTGTTGACTGGATTTGAAACACAGCAAAGCGAATTGTTGAACATCTCATTAGTTAACTCTACAAAATAATAATGCCTGTAAAACAGTTTCAGCCCAGAAATGTGACAAATCATGATTAATAATGTGGGGCTCACAAATTTATTCTCTTTACATCCCAATCACAGCCCCCCTGCCCTCCCAGTAACCCCCTAGTCCTTCCTGTTTCCCCTCCCCTCTTCTCTTCTGAGGAAGAAATAATTTATTTTTACTCTTCATTTAGTGTACTATGCTGTTTGGAAGATTATTAAACTCCGTGTATACTGTGCACTTTCAGATAAACTTTTCAAAAGTAAGTTTAAACTTAACCAGAAGTGATCACACAATGTGACAAATAGAACTGTACTCAGAAGTCAAGAATCTGGCTTAGTATCACAAAGCCAATAAACAACCAGTATTGTCATTATGACAGTTGTCCACAACACTTACTTCGGGAGTGTATCTTTCTTAGCCCTCATTCTGTTTTTACCCTTTTTATTGGTGATTTTTTTTTCTGAAAAGGGAAAGTTGATTTTAACAGATTAAATTTATTACAAATATAGTGCATTGGTTGCATTTTCAGTATTGCATTGCAGATATTCTTACTCTAGTTGAACTTCCTGAGGTCTCTCAAGTAGGACAGTCTATTTTTACCCATCTATGAAATTTAAAATTAATAAACAATAACTTCCTCCAAATTTCCAGTGTTAAGTATTTGTTTAGTATTGCCTTTCATATCCTGTTTCCAACCTATTGAAAACCTATTGACAACATTGTGTCAAGTGCTCCTCAAGTGCTACTGGAAGGAAGTCTCTCATCTGTGGCTATAGAAACAGAAGAATTAGAAGAAAAGGTGAGCCCATGGATCTGTGCTGTATCTAATTCACTTTGTGAATGAGAGATTTGTGGGCTATTAGTTTTTCTCTGACTCCCATTCTGACTCATCCTTTGGAAAATATAATTCCATTGCTACCTCAGAGTTTACTCATAGATCGTGAAGTTGAGCTATTTAAAATGTTTTCTTTCTCAGAGGTTTCTTTTGTAATATAAGAAAAGTTTAAATATTGCAAGGTTAAAGACATTGGCAATGATCAAAAATAGCTACATTGTGTTAGCAAGATGTGTGTTATTTCCCCAGAGGCTAAAACTGTTTAAAATATGAAATGAAATAGAGTTAGTCCCGTGGAGCCAGGGAAATAATAACAAGCCTTTTAAATTATTTTAAAAACACAGCCTTCAGCATTCCTGTTCTTTTATTACTCTAATGGCTTGGGCTTCCTTAGGGGTGTTGTATAAGGATGAATCTGCCTCTGGAAGCTGCAAGCATGCATGGGGTCATGTGCCTCTGGAAGCTGCAAGCATGCGTGGGGTCATGTGGCTCTGCACTTTCCATGCTAGGGTGATGGGAGTTAGAGTCTGGCTTTGACACAATTTTATTAAATTAGTAGAATATCATTTGTCTTTGATCTACAAATTCGAATTTGTCATTTAATCTTCATAATTTATCTTTGGGGGTTTGAGAACTGGGAAAAAAATCCATAGTGAGAAGGGAAGAAGGCTAATATGCGCTCTCCATTACAAATTTTGCAGTCATATTTATTAGTACTAGTTATAAGAAGAGTTCTATTTAGACTTTTTGCAAATTATAACTCATAATCATAGAATTTTATAAGACTTGAGATAATAGACTTTAGATTTTCTTCAGTCAATTACTAAAAAGGCTTATGATTCAGAAATCTATGGCTGTATCTCCTTCAATGAAAAGAAAGATTTCTGGTTAGTTTTTTCATGTCCAAATATAATCTCTGCCTCAGAAGAAGTCTTTGCTGTCAGGTTAGGATGAATCTTCTGAACCAAGGGTGATGTGGCATTGTTATCTATAGTGTGATGAACTACACTCAGAGCTATCCTGGGCTATGCACAGTCAGGGAGCCATTGGTTGGACACACCTACATACATCTCTGATGTAAAGTGTAAAGGAAAAGGTAGTTGTGAGAATACACATAAACACCCATGACTGCAACTGTTGTAGTCCTGTAATGGCCGAAAGGCAGGCATACAGTCCACTACTCATAAAATAATCAGAAGACATCGAGAAGGGAAGAAGCCACCATGCCACAGCATCATCTCACACTAAGTAAAGAACTTCTGGGTCCCCTATCACTGGGCTCTTGGACCTTCTGGTGTAATTTTGAACTTAACTTCTTAATTATAGTTTGTGTATTGTTTAAAATAATATGTATATCTGTTCACATGAGTGCAGATACCCTTGGAATCCAGAAAAGGGTGACAGGTCTCTTGCGGTAGAATTATAGATGGTTGTGAATTTCTTGACATGGCCACTGGGAGTCAAGCTCAGGTCCCCTGCAAGAACAGTGTGTGCTCTTAACAACTCTACTATCTCTTCAGTCTCTTCCATAGTCATTTTCCATTCCAAACATAAAAGAATTTTTGTTGCTATCAAAATATATCTAGAGTTTTCAAATGTATCAGCCAGGGGCTGCTTTATTTCTTAAAAACTAGATATACAGTTATGTGCCCCAAGTCCAGTGCTGCCATTTTATCTACTTCATGTTTAGTAACTTACTTGGTTTAATAAGGTGTTAAATATTAATTTTTATGGGCAAGGCAATTGAAATTCACTGAAATAGCTATTTCAGAATTCACAGTAAGGCAAACTTAACTGCAAAGCTGTTGTTTATTTTTTGTTGACTTATTTATTTTTTTGCTGTTCTCTCCAGCTCCTTTCTCTGTTCCTTTGTCAACATCGCATAGATTGTTTTATAAGAAGTTTTGCATAATAGTTTGGAGTCTGAATCTTAGTGTCATATTAAAAAAATTAGAATATAAGCTATAAAAACATTCACAAGTAAGCATGCTTTGCAAACATAATTTGCCATTTTAGAAATTTTATCAGCCCACACTCAAATACTGCTGATAGAAATTTCCTTTTCATCAAAACATCTACTAGGTAAAACAATGATCAACATTGAAAAGGCACAGAGAGCCAGAAGATGGAATGGAGGTACAAAGATGGCCTGGCAAGTGTAGACCTTGGGCTCCATTCTCAGCACTACAGGAAATTAAACAGGGAAAGGCACACAAACGGTCACTACTGTACACCATTCTGAAATCCTTAGCTATGAGTTCCTTTGAAGGATCACATTATTCAGTTCTGTGTGGTTAATACATTGAAAGACTTCAGAAGAGGAATTAGAATTTTCTTTTCCTGACTCTTCAGTTAACAGATCGTTTAAAAAAAGAATACAACGTTCTGTCATAGTTTGGATTCCTAGCATATTTTGGTTGTTGCAGAATTAATTTTCTTGCTTCACATAACTTTCCTGATAAGTAAGACATCTGTATGTTGGTAATGTGTATGCATGTTTTACATTAAATTTAATAAAAACATAAGGAATCCAGAGTGACTATCTTGAAACTTTAGTTCATTGAAGCCAAATTTATTGTTATAAGCTAAGATTGATTTAGTATTTTATTTCTTGGCTCAATTCTACTTTGTTTTAGGAATTTGTTACTTTGCAGATTGTATAAAAAAAACTGTCATGCTCTCTGCCAATGGGCAAAGAGACACCTGTTGGTGGTGGCGTTCTTAGTCAGAGGCAGAGCAGATGGCAGTTTTTTGTTCATCCTAGCTTGACACCATGCTTGGTAGTCAAATCTGTTTTATGCCTAGGACTCATACAAATCAAACAAAATAAAGTCCAGACAGTGCACAGTAGGAGGAAGACAGACAAAGACCTGTGGACCACCCTGCCATCCAAAGACCTACCCTCCAGTGCACATCACAAGTGGGCCAAAGACACCTGCTTTTTGACACACTGCTTGCCATGATGAAGTATATTATCATGAAGTATATCACCCAGGAGCCTGCCAGCTGCATGTCCAGCCTGCAACTGGAGCCATCACAGTGTGGGAGTATATGGTGATCAGTTGGGAGAGAAAGAGAAGTGGAGCAGCTTGAGCACTGTGAAGAGAGATGGAACTGGAGACTCAAGGGTAGAGAAGAGTAGCCTGGTGTGAGCGGCTATTCCTGCCACCTGGGGCCATGGTGAGGTTCCAGCCTGAGAGGCAGCTGAAGGCCATCTCTGAGTCCATGGCTATGCAGCATCAGGAGTCAGTGTCAAAGTCCCTGGCTCACATTACCATTAGAGAACATGGGGATGTCCTCAGTTGGGGCAGCCATTGGGCACCACCTGGATGTCCAAGGGCTATGCATAATTGGTCCTGCTCCTCACTGGATATGGCATTCTGGAGAGTTAGCCCCATTTTTCACGACTGGCAGAGCTCAGGAGAGTTCTGCAGTACTTGGGAGAGTGGACCCTGAACTCTGCCTGGACAGCACATCAGAGTTATTTATGGAAGTGGAGGTACAGGTGAACCAGCCCTGAAAATGAAAATGAGGGAGAGTAGACCCTACACCTTGCTCAGGAAGCACAGTAGAGCTGTCTCTAATGGCAGTGGTGTTGGTAAGCCATGCCAGGGCTTGAATGTGGGATAGCTGACCCTGCCATTCGTCTGCTATAGGGTGGCATGGGCATAGAGGCAATGCCCCAACTCTTGCCCCTTGCTACCTCTGGGAGTTGACAAGCCTGCAGGGTTATGAGCTCAGGAGAGGTAGTCCTGCCTGCCCCTTACCAGCTGCAGCTGTTAGTAAAGCAGGCCCTGGATAGCATATCAGCCAGTCCTGGTGATGGGGTGAAGATGAGCCAGTCTTGAGGAAGAGAGTCAGGGAAAGCTGGGCCTGCCCCTTGGCTGCCATGAGGTAGCATGAGTATGGGGGTGATACCTTGCTCTTTCCCCTTGCCACCTGCAGTAATCAGGAAAGCTGGCTTTGAGGGTATAAGAGCAGAAGAGCTAGACCTGCTCCATCATTGGCTGTAGCACTCAGGGGAGTGGGCCCTTCACCTCACCTGGGCAACACCACGGAGATGGCCCTGATGGTAAAGGCATGGATGAGCCAGCCATGGGAGTGTGAGAGCAGGGAAGCTGGCCCAGCCCCTCATAGGCTGCAGCACTTGAGGGAGTGGGCCCAGTGTACCTTGATTGGGAAGCACAGGAGAGCTGGCTGTAGAGACATGGATGCAGGTGAGCCAGCCTCAAGGGCATGAGAGCAGGAGAGCTGAATCTGCTTTCTGCTGATGGTGGGATTGGGTGACCTAACCAGAGCGGTGCTGGAGAGCTGCCCTAATGGTACAGATAAGGGAGAGCCTGTGGGCTGGCCAGCTCTGCCATCACCCAGACCAAGCAAGATTCAAGGTTCTGAGTTGGCCCACCCCAAAATGTATATCATCTGTGAAAGGTTGGGATGCAGGAAAGGGCCAGGCCTGCTGATCCAAAGCTTCAGGATCTCCATGACCTAGGGCTACAACAGGATGACTTGGAGGCATCTCAATAAGGATCCAATGTTGATGATGTCACAGAAGCCAGAGATCTTGAAGCAGACCAATGCCTCATTGCAATGAGCATTTGCAAGTGAAGATGTGTGGACAGAGGGGTAGACTGTTGGACACACTGTGACATACTACAACTTCCAAGATGAAATGTTATCTGTTTTGTTGTTTGCCTGTGTGTGTGTGTGTGTGTGTGTGTCTGTGTGTGTGTGTGTGTGTTTATTTTGGGGGGAAGTTTGCAAGGGTGAAGGGTGGAGATTTTGGGGAAGGGAAGCTGACAGGGACTGGTGTATATGGTATAACACTTACAGAAAATCAATAAAAATATTTTTTTAAAAATATTATAAAGCTGTTAAGTACATTTATGCTTAGAAACTAAATAGTAGGAAGTCTACTTGAAAACAATGTAGTCTTTTGTATTTTGACTGTAGAATAAATGCCTCTTAAGGTGAGGAACATTTTATATGCATATGATTCACATTGTTTACAGAATTAACCTGTGTTACAGGGATTATATTACACCATTGAGATTATATGTTTTTATACAGCTCACACACTGAGACTTTGTTTAACCATCCACGGTGATTGAGCAGGTGTCCATAAAATGGTTTAGGGAACTGGTGGCTTATGTCTTAGAAATAGAGAAAAGATTTGGGTTGGTTACAATTTACCAAATTATAGGAATGTTCAAGGTAGTGAGTGTCCTTAGCTTCTCAGATGACTCAGTAACTCAAGTTGTGGAGAATGAAATTCTGTGAAGTCCCTATGCCATTGTCAAGCCTGTCACCCCATTATAAGCAGATGTCCCTCATCTGTCAGCTGTTCACTTACCTGAATACTAGCTAGATTTCATTTATTTACTTAATTTCCCCCAGAAGAATGTTGTTCTCAAGAATGAGGCATTTTTACAGTGGCACAAATCCTCTCTGCCTGGAAATTAAGTTAACAACGACATTCTCAATTTTTCTTTTAGAGCATCAGGGCATCTGGCCTCATCCTGTTGGAAACAATACTCTTTGGTTCTCTGCTCCTATACTTTCCGGTAAGTGATGTCCTGCTGTTTTAAAACTAATCACCTGTTTTAGTTGTCTGTATTTTATATGTATAGCACATTAACAAAAAGTTGATAGATATTTAAATCTGACTCATACAATTTCAATGACCTTAGATACTTATGAATCATTTTAACATCTTGTGGATTTTTTTCTACTAAATTAATTTTACTTTTCTTCCTAGTTTTGTGAGGAAGGTGAGATATTTATTTAAAGTAGAATGTGAAGGTCTTATTTACTGCACATGTTTAACATATAAAAATAATATTACTTTCATTCTTCGTGCTCCATTATATAAATCATAACTGCAAACACAGCAATGAAGTAATGCTAGAAATTTCCCTATGAATAATTATAAAGAAAAAAAACTCAATGAAATAAATGTATATATGGTACTGCTCTTAATAATCATAACAGACTAATTTTATCACAGTAGTACTGTGCCTGTGGTGGTAAACCAATTACTAATTCAGTTCAATCGTTAGTGGTCTGAAGTTATCATGAGATAAGCATGGGGGTGATTTCTGGGAATACTCTTGATTTCTTTCTTAAAGCTTATGGTTTACAGGAAGAAATGAGTCAGTACAGATCCCTGTGACACAGTATGACAAAGACTCAGAGTGCTTTGCCATAGGGGCACTTAGGAAAGACTCATAACCAAATCTAGGAAAGACAATATCAAATAGCACTTCCAAGATCTGAAAGCTGAGCTGCATCGGAGAAAAAGGCAGGGTTGGCCCCGCATCATGCTCTTTCTTTCTTTCTTGTTCCTATTGCAGTTCCCTCTCAGATTTCTCCATGCCTTTTCTCTCACCTTAATAACCAAATCTCTTGGGAGTCTATCCACAGAGTGTTTCTTAAAGACACTGTCACTGACTATCTAATCTAGCAACACAGTTTGAAATCTTGCTGCTTAATCCAATGGCCATAGCATCTGTATCTCCAGACATGACTTATCCCCTGAACTCCAAATTCATATTCAATTGTTTACTTTCTCCTCCACTAGAATCACAAGAAAATTTCCCAGCTAAGGCTTTAACGTTTCCTAAAAGCCAGCCTCTTCAATCTCTACCCAAGGTTACTTGATCCTTTTAGTTACTGGGGTCAAAACTCTGCAAGTGGCTCTTGACACCTCTTCTTCACACATTTAGCCAGCTGACCTTCGAAAATACAGCAGCAATGCAAATACTCTCTACAGTCAGTGGCTACCACCCTGATCATTCCTGGATGATTATGACAATCAGACGCCCCCTTAGCTTCTCCCCCTGACACTCTACTTTGAAACATTAGTCACTTTTAACGCTAAAGTTAGACTAGCCATATTACCCTTCTCAAAACCTGTAAAATGTACCCAGTAGAAGCAAAATCCTTACAATAAATTTGAAATCCACATGTAATATGGGTTATGCTCTCTCCATTACTTTTCCATTCCTCTCCTGTCAAGTGTTCTTGATCTATTTAGGTCTAGAATTTCATTTTTCTATTCTCTTTAAAGATCCAAATGTATCCATATATAATCTCTGCAGTGATCAGAATGTGCCTCCCAGATTTGTGTTTTAGCACCGCCCCACCCTTCCCCAGGGGACTGCGTTGGGAGGTGGAACTTTCTCAAGGATGCTTCTGTCCAAAGGGCTGTGCTCTAAGACTTGGATTAAGGCAATTATGAAAAGAGCTAAATGGAGAAAACGTCATTCCTTCTACCCTTCTGTCGTCTACTTCTGGGATTTCTATTGCTGTGATAAAACGCCATTATCAAAAACAACTTTGGGAGGAAAGGCTTTATTCATTTATACTTGTACACTACTGTCTGTCATGGAAGGAAGTCAAGGCAGGAACCTAGAAGCAAGACCTGATGTGAAAGCGGTGGAAGAATGTTGTTTACTGGCTTGTTCTTGTTTGCTCAGCTTGCTTTCTTATACTGTCCAGGACCGTCGTTTTAGGGCTTGTACCTATGGAGGGCTCACCATGGGCTGGGCCCTCTCACAAAAATCAGTAAACAAAAAAATGCCTGAAAGGCTTGCCTGTAAGAAAACCAGTGAGGTTATTTTCTCAGTTGAGGTTTTTTTCTTCCCAAATCAGTCTAGCATGTGTCAAATTGTCACAGCACTAGCTAGTACATCTACCGTATTTTCTTTATAAATCTCCCAGTCTCAGGTGTTTTATCATAGTATCTCAAAGGAACTGAGAAAATCAGATTTTATTTTCCCATAGAAATAATCTACATTAATGTTTCTAACTCA